AAGAACGATCACCCCCGCGATCCAAGGGCACGCGAACCCGGCAGCCCGCCCTGCCTGGGAGGGATCCGAGGGGAGGGCCGGTGGGGACAGACATCACTGGCCCTCCAGGTGGAGGGGCACACCAAGGACACCTGGCGAAGAAGGGGGGCGTGGGAAGGGCCGAGCCTGGGTACGAGATCCAGGGACGCAGCTAACGGCTGCTCAGGGTTGGGAGAAGAGGGCGGCGCATCCCCAGGGTAGGCGCAGCCTGCAATGGGCCGAATGCAATCGGTACCGTCGGCCCGCCAGCAATGCAGGTCTCGCAACGCCTGCCAACGCGCCGGGGATACCAGGGTCGCAGCTAACGGCTGCTCAGGGATGAGATGGTCCAGGGGGGCCGCACCTGCCGCAGCGCGAGTGGCCAGCCTCTTAACGGCTGCCTCGTCTCTCCGTCTCAGAGTGCACGATTGCAACGGTACGGAGCTGATTTCTCTTGCTGCGCGGCCGCCCTGCCCCAGTGGCGGGCTGATCCAACCCTACGCCTGTGGCGCGCCAAAACTGAGGCCCACGCCGGGCCTTACCCGTGCATGCATCCAGTCTGGAGGGAGGGGTAGCTGGACGGCTCCTCTCCTGTCCGGGGTGCCGCGGGGGCCGTCTGCCATCTTAGGGCAGCCGTTTCCAGGGTGGCCGAGGCCTCTGCAGACGTGAGCCAGTCGTGGCCCAAGGGCGCAAGTGGGGGTGAGATGCGTCGGGCGCCCGCCCGAAAGGGTAGCGGGCGAGCGACGGGGCGCGCGCTGCCCACGCGCCTCTAACCAGCGAAGGCTGTCTAGCTAAGCTGCGCCAGGGAGAAGGAGGGGGAGCCCCCGCCCCAGCGGAGGGCGGCCCCGGGCATTACGGCCAGGGCCGGGCGCAGCGAGGTGAAACGGGCCCAGTCGGGGCCAAGGATGGCGGGATGTGGTGGGGAAGACCCGGAGACGTCGCTGAGGTGGCGGGCGCGCCTGGACGGTGAGGATCGCCACGGCCTGCAACCCGATGGCGGAAGCGAATCGTCCTTAGGCTGCGGAGTCGCTCTTGGCCCACCAGCGGCCTCGTTATTCAGAGTCGCGGTGGTCTTCGCGCGGAGAGTATCGCTTGCCTCCTCCTTTCCATTCGGAGTCCGTCCATGGGGTGTCGCGACGCCCCCATGAGGACCAACCCTGCCAGCCTCGCCATTGATCGGGGACACCCGATGGCTTGGCGGCTGCCCAGGGGGCCTGTGCCGCTGGTCGCCCGCCCCTGCGGGCTTCTGCTGACCAGGGTGCCGGCGTGTCGCGGCTGCTAGGTGCGCGGGGGGGCTGTGCGAGGGCGTCGTACCGCTCGGAGGACTTCATGTGCTTGCGGCGAATGCCGACCCAGTCTATTCCGAGTTCGCGTTCATGATCCATCTGGTACGCGTCGTAACCAGCGCGACAACAGGCTTTCATGAAGTCCGAGCAAGTCTCGGGTGTGTTGAGTAGGGGGGTGTTCTTCTAGCCTCCCTTGGCGTCCTGATTCAGAGCAGCGCGCTTGGACCACGCGTGCCATAAAGCGTTGAAGGCGCTCCTAGCGTCTTCTGCAGGCGCGCGATCTTGGCCTGCATGGCTTCATCTTTGTCCAAGTTCGCGGCTGCCAAGGAGCATTTGTACATGGTGCCGCCGCCCGTGAAATCATGGAGGTCTTCGTCCAAGGTTCCTTGCTCAGCTCCGGACGCGTTGGGTTCCACCTTGGTGACTTGGCGGCGCGCCCTTTCCCGTCCCCTGTGTCTTCAGAGACTGGGCGGCCGCGCCCTTGGCACCAGGGAGATGGGGTGGGCACGCGGTCTGCTCTGGCCCCCACGTGGTCCCGGGACGATGCGCTGGCCGGTGCGGCGTCATCCTTGGCCCTCTGGAGCTCCTTGGCCGCGTTCTTATCGATGGTCCGCGCGCAGGGCGACCATGGGGAGCTGCTGGGAGGTGCCTTTGAAAATGCACCGAAGGGGTCTTCGTCCTCGTCCTCCGTGGCAGCTGGCTTTGGGCTCGCGCTCGGGCTTCTGTCCTTAGCCGTTGCGGCTGCGGTCCCTGAGTCATCGCCCCAATCTGGCGACGCGGGGCCCCTGGGCTCCCGCGGCTCAGCCTCTGTCCTGCAGGCCTGCACGGCGTTGTCCTGCTCATCCGTTGTGGCTTGGGACTGGGGCGCGACCTTTGTTCCCTCGTTGCCGGGAGCCTCGCGCGCCAGCCTGGGGGTGTAGCCCTGTTGCATCTCCAGTCCCAGGGTTCTGCCGGTTGGGAGGGAGGCCTCTGCTGCATCGCTGCGCCTGTCCAGCCAGTATGCTGCGGGAGAGTTTGCTGTCGCTGCTGCACTGGTGACGGTCTAGACTAGGTCCTGCTGTGCCAGGGAGTTGATGGTGCCGTCAGCTAGGGCCGAAGGGTCCATGTCCGCAAGGTATCCCAGTAAGGTGCTGGTGGGGATTCGCGAAGCGTCAACAATTAACAGAAAAAACGTCGACGGGTCCCAAAACAAAACAAACAACGGTTTCGGAATGCATGCTGGCGCAGACGTCCGATCACCGAGATTAGATGTCGGACCCTTGATGCTTTGTGTTTGGGGGACCTGTCTGTTGTTTTTGCTGGTCTTTTTGGTTTGTGATTTTGTTGGAACCCCCGCCTCACTGTCGAAGCTTCCTACACGCCCGCGGGCAGTCAGCCAAGCAGCGCATGATTATGCACCCTTCCGCCTCCTCCCCCGGGGGGTGATTTAACCAGATTGATTCTGGAACCGCGGCTGGTTAGATTCGACGGCCCTGGTTGCAATGACCACTGCGCTACACGCAGAGGACGTCCATTCCATCAGGAGGTAGCAGTTGGAGCGCCACCCCCGCAGGAGGCAACCATTTCCAACATGTTGCCTTCCCTTGTCTCTCTCATCCATCGTCCTCCTGCCTCTTTACACTATGATCCGCCCTTGGGAGCACGATTGCGTCTGATCGCTTCACAGACACAGTGACAGACCATAGAATAACAATCTAAACAGGAGAAAGCAATTGCGAAGGCAAAGTCTTGCCTGGTACATATCATCCTTCCTCCCCACACACACTCCTCTTCATTGATATCCTCCACTCAGCGGCTGATTGCACCGAACTGACTCAACAGCCACCGTGCTATGCTAAGAGGACGCGTTCCTCTCGAAAACCGTGATTGCTCAACGTTGCTTCAGGATCGTTAAGCTGATTGCGTACTACATTTCTCCGCACATCCACTCTCGGAAGGCTAATCCACCCATATGGAATTACATCCCCCGGGCAGCGATTCAACCATATTGAACCTGAAGCCGAGATTGTCCAGACTAGACGAACCCGTTTGTAATAATCACTGCGCGCACACATACGACGCCCATTTCACCAGGAGGTAACAGTTGGAGCGCCACCCCCGCAGGAGGCAACAGTTGCCAAACTATTGCCTTGTATTGTCTCTCCCATCCATCATCATCCTGATTAGTTCCATGATGATCCACCCTTGACAGAATGACACAGACCGTGCTATGTCATAGAAGACAAATCTCATCGGCAGACAGCAATTGCCAAGGTATTGTCTAGTCTTGCATGTATCCTCCATCTTCCTCGTCACCTCTTCATTGTTTTTCTCGAGCTAGCGGTTGATTGCACCAACTTGTTTAATAACCACCACGCTTTGCTAAGAGGACAACTTTCCACTCGGAAGCCGCAGTTGCCAACCATTGCACCAGTTTCACGGAGAAGCGTGCATACTGTCTTCCTCCGCGCATCCATTCCTCCAAGGCAGATACACTCAGATGGAATCAAATTGCACTGAAAAGATGACAACATTGCATGAGTGCTGTAAGAAGAAACGAAGCAAGAAACAGATGTTGCCAATGGGCTGCCGACTCTCAGAATCCCATCCCGTCCGCCTTCTGCCTTTTGCATTCCGATATGCGGCAATATGAGCCAGAAGCCCTAGTGTTCTCTGTCTCTCTTTATCTATGCATGGCTCGCCCCTTGTTGCCTGGTACATGGAAGATTTTGAATCAGATTGAATCCTACGGTCATGCATGCCTTTGTGCCGTTCAGGCTCGAATCGGTTTTTCGACCAGTCTAAGCACCGAGTGTTATTAGTGTTCCGAGGATATGCCGATTTCTGCGGAGTGGCCCAAGGACCCCAAGGAGAGCCCGCAATGACCCCAAGACGGCCTCAGCTGGCCTCAAGACGGCACGAGAAGCCCCCGCTGCGGCGCAAGAGGGCTCCAGGAGGCCTTCTGAGATGGCCCATTCGTTCCGTGTTCGAACAACGTTTGGCATATCCGCTGTTCGAGCTTCCGACGGCCCAAGAAACCCCAGTGACTTCCAAGATGGCCCGAAGACGACCCAAGGGATGCCGAAAATGACGAACACCAGAGGCCCCCTGGCGATGTTTCCGGATCCGCCGGAAGCTCCGCGGGACGTTTCCAGGGGCACCCGGGAGGCCCTCCCGGAGGTCCCGGAAGCAGCAGAGAACAGCAAAGCAACCCCGGCGAGAACGACGACGACGACGACGACAGCTGGGGCGCAGCTGGACATGCTGTGGCCCCCCTTGGAGGCGCGGAGACGTGGTACAGCACATCGCTAGACGGGCGGCATGGCCAAAGAGCGCCCACCACCGAGAGTGAGCTGTGAGATTCCCGAGGAGCGCGCGCGTCGCCCCTTTGCGATGCCGACGCACCCCTAGAGGAAACCCAGGCGGAGGACGGGAGGGCTGGGGCCTGGACTTTGCCCGTCACGACCTCCTGCGCACGTGTTGCGGCCATGCTCCACTACCCCGCTGCATGCACGTCGTTAGTAGCCAGCTTGGCTCAGAGCAGTCCCCGCAGAGATGACGCGTGAGCCCGATGCTGCCAACAAGCTGTATCAATGTGATTAGATCGTCCACTTTGACTGTCTTCACGTGATCGGGGTGATGCCGAACGACGACGACGACGACGACGACGACGACGACGACGACGACGACGACGGCAGTTTCGGGCGGCGCTGGCGCCGGCTCCACCTCGCTGTTGATTGAGTCGAGCGAGGAGGCCGCAGACCCGGTCCAGCCCGGGGCCAGCCCGTGCGCCCGCATGCGCCCTCGCGGGGAGGGGGGGGGAGGAACCTTCGGGAAACACTGCGGCAAGAAAGGTCGGCGTGAGCTCGGGAGGGGCTCGAAGTATACGGTATACACCAAGACGTCAAGTCGGCCACGGAGCTCGGTGTACACGTCGTTACTCGTGCTCAGTTCTACGTGTGCTCGTTTCTAATTGTTCCTGGCTCCCTAGTGGCCAGCAAGAGGCCCAGGACAGAACAATTAGAAATCAAAGGATCTTGGCCCCCAACAAAAATCAAAGAACTCCCGAAGAATTAGACATGAACAATGTGTAAATAAAGACGCCCCGGCCTCCCAGCCTGTGGGGAGCTGGGGCGTCCACACGCCGAGCTCCGCGGCTCCCCCTGACCGACCAACATCGACGTGGTGCAACGGAGCGAGCCCCTCCGCGGCTCTCCTCGCGCCCGGCGCCCGCTCGCCGATTCCGAGAGGGGGCCAAGCACGGCGAACGTATCCGTACTCGCGCCCTCTCCCGGTCTCTTCTCCTGGGCGCGATCCCGTGGGCCACGCGGCCGCATGGAGGCGCGCCGCGCGGGACATCCGCGAGCACTCGGCCCCGCATCCACGGTGTCTCGGCCCGGGGCCCTGGCCCGGGAGGCCATGGCTGCGGATGTGCTCCCCGCCCACGATCACCAGCCGACCCGGGCACAAGACGGGCTCTTCGGCTCGGCTCCTCCAGGCCTGGCAGGGTGGACCTCCGGGCCCCGGGTGCTGCAAGGGGCGGCCGGGTCCAGGGTGACTCTTCTTCTCCAGGGAGGTCTGCAGGTGGCATGCGCAGCACCCGTCACGATCTCCACAGATCTCCAAAGGGTTTCCCACCGGTCGGAAGAAGTAGGTAGAAACATGAAGTAGGAAGGCGGAAGAAGTAGATTGCGTTCGGGGCCGCCCAAAAAAAGCAACAGCAAAAGCAATTACAAGAAGTAGATTGCAAATGTTCGGGCCCTGTCTTAGCGGCGCGCTATAGCGCTAGGTCGCTCGGCCCCTCGGATGGCCCCTTCCCTGGCTGGTTTCGGTTGTTCTGGCTTGTTTTCGTTTGTCCGTCGATCGCACTGGCAGCCTTTCGGTGGCTCGGCCCCTCGGCTGGCCCCATTCCATCGTTTTATGTGTTTTTGTTTATTTTCGCATGTCCGTCGGCTGCAATGGTCGCCCCAGGCTCGCCCGCCGCCCCGCGGTCGCTCGGCCCCTCGGCTGCCCCCGCAGTCGCTCGCCGCCCCGCGGTCGCTGGCGCGGCGCGAAAGGGCGGGGGCACCGTGGGCCAGGGTCACCTCTAGCAACCTCCGAAGGGAGGTGAGGCCGACCGCAGAATTACGGATGGGACGGGACCCTCAAGAGGATCTCAATGCGAAAGGGGACTGGCTTCGACGCACTCGGTGGAGAACCTTAATCATTGTCAAAACCAGCGAATGCTCGATTCAAACGAATCAGCGTATTGCCATATTGCATACGTACAGCTGCCCTACTGTGAGTGAGCCGAGGTTGGCAGAACGGAGCTGAAATTAACACGTGCTACCCGATTGAATTGCATCGAATCAAACTCCTATTTATCACACCGCCGCTGCGTTGAACGCCAACTGCAATGGCGAACGCAAATTAAATACCCACTGTGCCCCCCCGTCGCCCCGACCCCCTTACGGTCGGGAACTTTGGACAACGTGCCGCTCCGCTGCTTCTGGCCCACCACGTTCCAGAGCGACCCGCTGTCCACTTCCCGGTCTCCGGGCGCCAAGGTCCCGAGCCTTTTTCGAGCCTCCCGCCCAACGGAGCGGAGCGACACGCTATCCACTCGAACGACATAGCGTCTCGCCGGGGCCTCCCGGGCGACGCGCGGTCGAAAAGATCCCGACCGTATGCCCCCTTCCACAGCTGGGAGGGACGCCAACCGTCCACCTGCACCGACCATGGTCAGGCTCAGCGCAGACTCAACCTCCCGGGGAGCCTCCGAACACAGGGGGAGACCTCCGAAACACGTCCGAAAACTTGCATAAGCAGACTAAGATCGCAAGAAGGCGCGCGGAAATCCAGGGATCAGGCTGAGCTGTGTTTTATCATCTTCGTGCTGTCGCTTTCCCTCGTTTTGCCTTCGTTCCGCCTGTCCTAGCGGAGTCGAAGCGAACACGGCCCACGAAATCCGCCGACCCTGTCGGCGTGTGTGAGGGGCTTTTCCGTTCGTGTCGTCGTCGCCGTCATTCGCTCACCGTCGTCTCCGTCGTGATTTCTTGTCCCTGTGCCCGTCGCCGTTCCTCTCTCCTTTCATGGGCCCTCCTCCAAAATCGCGTCAGCCAAAGCGAAATTGACCAGCGTCGTCATATATACACTCGAAGGAAGTCCCTTCCCTTTGATCCCTCCCCCGCCGGGAGGGGGGGGGGGTCGGGGTCCGGACCCGGGTCTGGACCCGGGGTCCCGGGTCAGATACGCATCCCCTCTGGGGACTCCTGGCTTGCAAAAAAAAACTCAAGACGGGCCAAGAGTGCCCCAAAAGCTCCCAAGGATAGCCCACGATGGCCCCGAAGTGCCGACCGATCTGTCTAAGACGCCTGGACGGCCTCCAGACGGCCCAAGAATCCTGCAAGACGCTCGAGGAGGCCTCCAGGAGCAGTCCCAAGAGTGCCTCAACAACAGAAATCGTAGATTTCCCATAGGTGTTGGCAACCCGACGGTGTATACACAGGAAAGTGGTTGCCGCGCTGCCCTTTGTCTTGGTGTTGACACACCACCCCCATCCTGGTAGATGGCGAATACATGGCGAAGCCTCCGCCATCCAGCTCCTCATCCCTCCTCTTCCTCCTCCTCCTAATAATCTTCCCTCCTCCCTCCTTTTCCCCTTCCCCTTCACCTCCTCCGTCCCCCTTTTGCTCCTCCCTCCAATTCCATAGCTTTTTGGATATGTTAATTGTGGCTGTCGTCGTCGTCGTCGTCGCCGTCGTCGTTCCCCTTCAGGGTCGGCGGCACCGGCCGCAAAGCCTTCGCAATCGCCAAGTAATGCAACTTAGGTCGAGCCCTGCGGGGAAATTTCAAAACATCCGAAAATACAATATAAAAACATGAAAACGGCCTCCTCGTCCTCCTCATCAGCAACATCCTGAAATGACGCCCCTCCTTCCAAATCCAAATCCGCTCAACATTATTTCCCACACCCCTCCTAGGTTCCATGCCAGTTTCCACTCCAGACCGCGTTCTGACGGCTTTGAGCCCCGAAAATGGTCCTCGGAAGGCCGAAATCGAGGGACAACCTCCTCCAGCATGATGTTTATTCATGCCCTCCGGGAGCGATGTTATACCTGCGAGCGCAGAAGGCACCTGTACACTACGCACGCTGCCAGGCCATGGACATCCTGGGCGCTGGCACGGTGTGCAGACAAGCTGCTACGACAATGGAAGCTAATGGGTACGAGGCGGGGATATATCCGCATCCGCCGCCTGGGGGACCGACGTCCTGGACCCCGAGCGGGCGGTGGACATGGACAGATTGTGTCCACAGGGGGGCCGAACATATCCAGACCCACCGCCTGCCAGGGCCCCCGGAGCTCGATCCTCCAGGCGGTGGCCATGGATAAGGAACGAAGCCCACTTCTGGCCCCCAAGAGCGCTGAGAAACGGCGAGCCTCTTCCAAACCAGAACCTGCTCCTCATCTTGCCAACGCTCGGACGCCCATTCCCCGTGAAATGCTCGGTATCGCGCGTGCTCGTTGCTGCTAGATGATCAAGGATGCTCCTCGATGATCCTCGCAAAGAGAATAGGAGGCCGCATGCGAACCTTACCCCACCGTCACACGATTTCTACGAGGGGAAGTAGGATTCGCTTCACTCGGGAGGTCCCGAGCGAAGCGAACCACACCTCCCCCCGGAGAACTCGTGGGGTGGTGAGGCACGGTTCGCATGTGGCCTCCTCGAAAAATGCACACGTCCGAGCGGTGCCGAGTCCTTTCGGCGTCTGGACTGCACACCCCCTCCCAGCCAGGGCCAGGAGGGAGGGCCCCCTCTGCGCCGTCCCCCCAACACGTTTGTTGCCCCCGAGACGGCCCCGCCCGGGCACGGCGAGGCTGCACGCACCCATGGTGCCTCCTGCGAACCCGGGCGCCTGCCGCCCCCCCACCCCAGACATGCGACGATACAGTCGGCCCGTATCGTAAGGACGCGCGGTAAGGAGGCAAGGGCCTTGGAGGGCCATGCTGATGTTTTTTGACCGAGGCTGGCCAGCGAAAGCCGCTAAGTATGGGCCGAAAGGGCAAGGATGCCAGGGTTCCTTTGGGAAAGTTGCACATCCTTACCATGCGGGTTGACTCTTACGCGGTGGCTTACGAGGGCTGCCAGCGCGGGGGCACTTCCGCGCGAGCTTACGCGGACAGCCTACGCGCGAATGTCGGCGAAGACAGCCCCGTTCTTCTGCGTCACTCATGTGATTTCTTCAACGCTCGGCCCCAGAAGTCCCGACCCCGTCTCACGGCCTCAGGACCACGTCCATGTCTGATGACCCCAGGGCCGTGTTTTGACCTTGGGTTGGGAGAGGCGAGAGGAGCGGCGCAACACACAGATGGTCGATCCCATCGCTGCGCAGCGCAGAAGCCTGGCGAGGAACACGTGGAACGGACGTATCAGTACCGGGAGGGGCAAGAAAAACGCCGGGATTGAGCCTCTCATCTCGTAGGAGCTCTGTTGAGCAGGGACCGACCGTCCCTGCATCCCTATGGGCCTACCACAAGATGCTCTTTGAACCCAGAAATGTTCAAAAAACAAAAACCATGTTCTTTGAACATGAGCCCGATGCGTTCAAACAACACAGCCCCAGCCAGAACTGTTCTGAGAACATTTCGCGGAAACCACAGAAAGGCTCTCAGAACACTGCTTGGTAGGCCTATAGGCACGCCAGGACGCTTCGCCATTACAGTCGGGGCGTTGACCTGAGGAACCCTAAATAAGGAACGAGGCCCCTTTTTTCCATAAGTTAACCTTCGATTTCCCATGGAAAACATAAGGAAAGCCTGAG